TTTAGCAGCCGCAGTGGTAGAATTACTTCTAAGGGGATAGACCTGAGGCCCGAGCCCATTGCTGCGTCACAGCATAGACTCTTGAGTAGAAAGGCCTGGTTCTGTGCCACCTTTGAAGGTGTGCTTTAGGGTTAGTCCCACTTGAACCATGTGGATTAAAAATAGAGAAGAGCCAGTTTCTGAAAGAAAGTTTAGTTCTGTTTGCCAACATAAGAGATACTGGGTAGGCAAACAGAGATACAGTACATTGTTTTGTGGACTGATTTTATTTCTCATTCTGTAACATGTTTGTGACCTTTTAATAGATGAGTAAAAGTGGCTGTGTCTCTTTTCCAAGGTCACATATCTAGCAAGTGACAGAGCCAGAATTTCAGCCTGGCTTTGTCTGACTCCACAGCCTGGCCTCTGCCCATTACCAGAGTTTCTTAAGCTTTTCCTGTGCAGTTCAACCAGGGCAGGGAAGTGTGAACACACTCTGGAGGTATCGGGTTATGGCCCAGCCATCTGCTTGGAGCCTAAAATCCCTTTGAAGTCTAGTTTGTTTAATGTTAAAGTCGTTAAACATTTTCATTCCACTTGTGGAAAAAGACTTTATGTTACCTGTCCACGTAAGAAATTCCCAAACCTGAAGAGAGTTTTTGTAAGAGTTGAGCCAAACTGAGGATACATGCTGGGGAGCAAGATATCAAATGCTCTGCAGAATAACAATTTTGCAGCAGCTTTTATGCATTTGAAATTAAGGAGCTAAGGAAGATTACATGGAGATGGGAGAAAACAAGGCGAGGATTGGGTTACAGGATAGTTGACGATTATGTGCGCTCTTGAGGGTGGTTTCACTTATTTCAAAGGTGTGTTAACCTAGATGCATAGAAACTGTGGACAGGGCTTGCTTAAGGCAAAGATAATCCTTTTACTAAAAAAGTTATATGCCTGGGGTGTGACTACCCACCATGACCTGGCCAGTTAGAAATTTATGATCAGATCACCCTGTGAGGTTACTGTCCCTTAAACTCCTTTTTTTTTTTTTTCATCCACAGACCTAGTGAATAAAATTGATGCTCAAAGGAGAGGAGCCCTGTTATGTTGTGGTGAGCACTGCTGGCCACATACCCTAGAATGATAAGCACAGCACTACCTGAGGCTGTGTGCTCATGTCCTGTTCTCTACTTTATTTTCAGTAGGGATTCAATGAGTTACTTTTTAGAATTCTAGAGAATGTAAAGTGAGAAAACAGAAAAATCATAAATATAAAGAAAATTAACTTTTGTAAAGAACACACTATTGTTCTCTCAAGTTTCAAATGAACCTCTGATCTTCAGATTTCTTGGCAGTGTTGAGCAGTTTCCCTAACCGACTTTCTGCATTCACCACCCTGCTCTTTGTGTGTTACTTGTGGGCTGAGGTACCCAACAAATTGATTTTGGTGAGATAGGGCACCACGATGACTCATTATAGTATTTGTTTTCAATATACTATTTTAAAGTTTGCATCTGTTGTTACATTAAGCAAGATAAATGTTGTATTTTAAAATTTTTTGTTTTGTAGAAAAGCATATGGCAATAATGTTGAACTTCTGAAAACATGAAAAATAAATACTCTTGATGGATCAGCTTTCATTTTTGCAAATTATTTTCCATAAAGGAAACTTGAAGGTTTATTAAGAGGGATTTTCTCACCCTTGAGACTTGGATTTTAAAATTATTATTATTATTATCTTGTTGGGACCCTTTCATTCAAATAGTTATTATGAAATGTGGCTTAAGTTACTAATTTTTCACTGCTAATATAGGATTGATGACTTTAAAAATCAAGTACAAGTTTGTAATCTTGTTAAAAGTGATCATTTTATATTAAATAAATATGTGAACTATGATTAAAGCTTGCTTTTATATCATATGAATGTCTACTAATGACTATTATTGGTGATATGTACTAGAAGTTGAAGGTAGCATTAGAATGTCTTGGAATGCGAAATAATTGGCCTTTAACTTTAAAGAAATCTCTCATATTCTCTTCTCATGAATTTTCTGCCTTTCAGAATAGAATGCATGATTATTGCCAATGATGCAACTGTCAAAGGAGGCACCTACTACCCAGTGACTGTGAAAAAACATTTACGAGCACAAGAAATTGCATTGCAGAACAGGCTCCCCTGCATCTACTTGGGCAAGTTACAGGAGTTGTAAAATAAACTATTTTTAGCTGGTAAAATATAAGACTGTTTAAACAGCAGTCTCCAACCTTTTTGGCACCAGGGACCAGTGCTCCTATGAGAATCTAATGCCTGATGATTTGGGGTGGAGCTGAGGCTGTGATGCTAGTGCTGGGGAGCGGCTGCAAATATAGATGAAGCTTCACTTGCTCACCACTGCTCACCTCCTGCTCTGTGGCCTGGTTCCTAACAGGCCACAGAACAGTACCAGTCCACAGTCCAGGGGTTGGGGACCCCTGGTTAGGAAGGCTATATACATAACATTATCAATTTGTAGTTGTAATTGTTAGTTTCTCCCATAATTACAAAAGAAGTGCATGTTTTTTGCTGGAAACTTGGAGAAAAGGTAAACTAGAACTATCTATAATAACATCACCGAGAAATAGAACTCCTGACAGTATTTTGGTGTATGCCAATTTTTTCTCTACAAATGTGTGTTTTTTTCCTTCTATATGTTCTGTTTTTCTATTAACCACAGTGGGTTCAAACTGTGAAAAACTAGTAGCTAATATTAGTTTATAGATCTATTGAGTGCCAGGTACTATGTTAAATGCTTGAGTATGTATATAATTTGAGCGGATATAATTTGAATAAATTTAATTTTAATTAAAAAATTTTTTTCAATTATAATTGACATATAATATTATGTTAGTTTCAGGTATAAAACAGTCATTAGACATATACTTTATGAATGATAACCCAAATAAGTCTCGTAAGAAAATTTAATTTTCAATGAAAGCAAATTTATATTTAAAATTAAAATACATTTAAATCTAAGGATATTTCAAAAAGAACATAAAAGCAAGGCAGTAAAAAATTGTTGCTTCCTGAATACTGGTTTAGTTTGATAAAATGCCAACATATATTGCATATATTGTTCATTTATGTGGATATTTGAACAGGTACTGATATAGAGATTTTTTTTTCTATGAAAGTGAATTTACCTGGTGACTTACGGTATAAACTGCTTTGCACATATAGCATACAGCAAATAAGGACCTATTGCTAGCAGGTGCTGTGCAAACACTGTAGGGAATGCAGCGAAGAGTATTATGTTGTTCCTGTCTTGACTGGAGACAAGATATAATATATCATAAGACAAAAAAAGACTTATGGTTGGTTGTAGGCAAGAGCGATAGGTATACGACTAGCTACCTTATTGTAGCATTAATATGTGCGCTTACAGTATGTGCTGAACTAAGTACTTTACACACATTTCATGTCATCCCAATAACAACTCTATGAGATAGCTTCTGTTGTTATCTTCATTTCAGAGGTGAGGGAACGGAAGCATAGAATGACTAGGAAACACACCTGTAATTACACAGCTCTGAAGTAACCACACTCTGTTTTGAACTCAGCTGACATTCTAATTCACGACTCTAATCTGCAGTAATACGTGATAAATTGTCACATGAATTCTGTAGAGGGTATTTGCATTGGCTTAAAAGAGGGAAAGATACTTTTTTTTTTAGCTGAACTGGTTAACATTTACGGCGTTTTGGGGGCTTTAGCAGGTCCTCAAAGGAGAGAATGTCCTACACATGTCAAGTAAATTTTTGTATAGGAGTAGGAAAGCCTATTGGATTTGAGGAAAATAGTGAATCCTTTTGGCTGTATTGGGGGATTGGAGAAAGATGCTGCAGAATAGATTAAAAAGATAGGGCAAATTTTTTTGTGAATGTGATTAAGAACTGATGCTGTCATTGATAGAAGCCTTCCTGTGTGTAGCATATTTCGTTCATAGAGATGTACTTATTTCTGTCATTTCTCTTGTTTTCAGTTGATTCAGGAGGGGCAAACTTACATCGACAAGAAGATGTATTTTCAGATCGAGACCACTTTGGCCGAATATTCTATTATCAGGCAATTATGTCTTCTAAAAATATTACACAGGTAATTTCTCATTTAATGAGATGTTTTGCCTTTTGTGCTAAATGACTTTGATAATTAGGTACTCTGAGTGACTTAAAACAAAAGTTAATTGAGAATTGAGGTTTTTTCCCACAGAAAGTAATTTAAGGTTGTCTCCAGTCAGATTCTTTTGTTAATTATAGGAATACACTTATATCTAAACATGTACATGTGAATGATACACTTAACTTTAAAGCAGTAGTTACCTTTGAGGTGGGAGAGAGGAGAAAGGAGTCAGGTAAGAGGTATGGAGAGACATCAGTTATATCTGAAATATTTTATTCCTTAAAAAAAATTTGAAGTGAATTTGGCCAAATGTCAAGATTTAGTAAGAGTTGGTATTAGATGGAAGGATATTTATTTTTTTTATTCTCTAATCTTTTTTGCATGTTTGAAATACTTTTATTATTGGATTTTTAAAGTTTTTAGTATTTTTATTAATATTCTAATTAGTCTTCACTTGCGATTATTATATCTATTTTTATTTTCTATCAATAGAATATGTTATTATTATGTATTTTACTGTTCTGTAGCGACCTCGCCTATCTCTATGCTTTATTTATCTTAATAAGAACTTCAACTTTGCTCAGTTTTGCATCGATGGCTCTTCCATTAGCTGATGTGAAATTCTTATTGTGATCTCTTGTTTTATAGGGGAAATTAGCCCATTTAATCTGGTATTATAATTTATATAGCAGTACTGACCTTGCATTAGCTTCTTAGGGCTTCTGTAACAAATTACCACAAACTGGGTGGTTTAAAATAATAGAAATATTCTCTCAAATTCTGGAGGCTAGAAGTCTGAAATCAAGGGGGTAGCAGGGCTGTGCTCCCTCAGACTGCTCTAAGGAAAATTCTGTTCCTTGCTTCTTCCAGCTTCTGGTGGCTCTAGGCGCTCCCTTACCTTGTGGTTAGGACTCCAGTCTCTCCTTCGGTCTTCACATAGTCTTCTCCTCAGTGTGTCTGTGTCTTCTCTTCTCTCTCTCATAAGGACACTTGTCATTGGAATTAGGCCCCACCCAGGTAATCCAGAATGATCTTCTCTTAAGATCCTTGATTACATCTGAGACTTTTTCCAAATAAAGTCACATTCCTAGGTTCTGGGGATTTGGGTGTGGACATTTCTTTTGGGGGGCCACTATTCAACCTGCCGTAAACTTCTGTCACCTTGCAATCTCATTCTTTGCTCTTTTTGTTCATGTAGCTTTTGTGGAAACTGTATAAAACATTAACTAACACTTTTTTTTTTTTTTAAATTTTATGGAGGATCTACTATAAGTCAGGCTCTATGCTGGTGAATAAAACCAGGTATGGTTTCTGCTCCTGTGGAACATAGAGGTTGAAGTGCTTTAAAAACCAGGTCTTCTTAAAATTAAAAGTGTCCATATATTTTTGAATAAGCAGTACCTGCCTGTGATAAAAAAATCTAAAATGTCTAAAGGGCATTTGACTGAATGTACTTTCCTTTTGCCTATTTTATTTTTGTTTCCTAAACATGTTCACATCAGTATTTCTTTAACTGAGCCAGTTCTCTTAGCATTTATTTTTTCTGTTTCACTCCAGTAGGAAGTTTATGGTTGAGATTTGCCTTTCAATATTTTTATGAACCTCTTGGAATTAAAAAAAAATTAATTGTTATTACATACTAGTCTCTATAGTGCCTGTTCAGTACATGATCTTTTCAGTATATGAACTCTAAACCTGTATCTGCACTGAAGCTATTACTACATGCTTCACTAAAAAAGTCAGGCTATGTGTGAGCCATGTTTAGTTGCAGCTCCTCAAGCCTTTCACTTTTTTTTTTTTTGTTTGCTTCTGCCTATTATTTGTCCTTTTTGGAGATGTACTTAAAATTATTCTCAGGTGTCCCTCCCTTTCCTCTTTCCTTACCTTTTTCCCTCTTTCCCACCTTGGCTTAGCTCATTATTTTTGAAATTTATTTTTTTCGCTTTAGATCTTGTTAATTGTTTTGAGGGGCTTAGTTAGGACAGGCACTGTATATCATTATTTTTAAAATGCATTTCAACCTGTTCATAAAGATAGATAGGGCCTGGGGAAGACAAGTTACTCTGTTTGACTGCTTTGAGGCTCTCTGATAAAAAGATTAAGAAAGAGACACAACGTCCTGGGTAAAACAGACTTTTTGTTTTCTGTATACATTTCAGCCTATCCAGTTAACACAGATAAGCATGAATATTCTAGAATCAGCAGTGTGATCAGTCACTATAGTTGATAATGTTCTTTATTCTGGACAGCTATATAATTGACATGTGTATTTTGTGGCTTTTATTTTTTAATGGTTCCTCAAGTACAGTAAGAAAAAAATGTGATACAGCCAGTATTTGCTTTCCACAATTACTTTGAATGGAAAAAGATGTAAAATTAGAGATTTGAAAAACATTATCATGTTTTTAATGGCTTTTCCATCAAGCACCTGAAACTTTTCTCCCCTCCAAGTTGTAATACATTTAACACCATATGCCTTTGAACTGCTGGTAGTCTTCTGCCATCTTTCAGTGGAAGGATGGAGGTCTAGAGGTCACACAGCTTTTCAGAATTCGATATAAAACCTCTTGACTTCCTTTCAGAGACTCTTTCCATAGGGCAGGCTGCTGACTGACCTACAATTTGTAATTTGTTTTGGGTGCGTGAGAACCAGTCTCTGTTTGTTCAGGCAAGACATGGAGGATAATGAAATTTTGTCTAAAGATTTTTAAAGGCTATTATCTCACTTTTGTAGCATCTCATTTCCTTTTGTTCAAAAATTTTGCTTGTGCTTTCTGTGGTAGTGGTGACAACTATTGTTCCTCTCAGGTACACATTATCCTTAGCCTTCTTGCTGTTGTCTTACTCTTGATTCAAGTTTTTGAATCGCCGTGGCCTTCCTCACCCTACGAGAGAGATCTCTTGGTTTGTCTGTGTCACAGAGCAGACCCACGTCCCTTGTGACTGGGTGGATTGTAGCCTCTCAGTACGGTTCTTGGGAGTTCTCTCTTGTCCTGATGCAGATGGAGGTCACTATGATACCTCTCCTTGCGCAGTGCCTCCCATGCACCTTCAAGTGTGGTCAGATCAGTTTATGGTCAAGCATCTTGTATCCTTTTAGAAGAGAAAGCAGCAGAATCTCCTTTCTGGGAGATTATTCGTCCAGTGTGGTCCAGAGTAAGATCTTTGTTGTACCACAGACCAGTGCTTCGGGACCTGGAAAGTCGTTGGTGCTGTTGTGGCCCTGGGGTCCCTGTGCTTTGTAAGTAGCAGCAGCAGACTCAGTGGCAGAGCTCCTCGTCTTGGTGTACATGCACTCTGTTTTGTGAGTGAGTAAATGGCTTCGAATTAAATGGTGAGATTGTGTGACAGTGGCAATTTATCTGTATTCTTTTATTTAATTTTTATTCCTATTATTAGAATTTGTTTTAGCAATGTTAAGTTTTGTTCCTGTTAGATACATGTGACTGGAAGAGCCTTTCTTTTAGATGGAAAATTTGAGAATTTTTATTTTTGTGTACTTAGTAACTATAGCTCTTGCTTTAAAAAATTTTGTTATAGCAGCTTTTAAGATGTAATTTACATACCATACAATTACCCATTTAATATGTACAATTTAATGGTTTTAGGATATTCAAAGTTGAATCAATTTTAGAATATTTTTATCACCCCTGAAGGAAATGCCTATTCATTAGCAATTATTCTCCATTTCTCTCCAGTGTCTCCAGCCCCTGCCAACCACTAATTCACTTTCTGTCTCTGTGGATTTGTCTGTTCTAGACATTTTATATAAATGGAATCATACAATAAGTGATCTTTTGTGACTGGTTTCTCTCAGCATAGTGGTTTCAAGGTTTACCTATGTCTTTCTCTTGATTTTTTTATCATTCTCCGAGTTGGTATGGAATCCCGTTTATGGCTCGTCTCCCCTCTCTGGAATAGAGGAGTGGTTTACGGCTGGATTGAAGAGCAACAACAAAGTACTTGTAAACAAAGACTATCTCAAGTCTTCAGGTATGCTTTGGTTTTAGTCACTTAAGGTAGATGGTTTTGATCTCTGTGTTAGTTTTCTACTGCTGCAGAACAAATTACCTCAAAACTGAGCAGTTTAAAACAACTGCATTTATTATCTCGCAGTTCCTATGGGTTATGAGTCTGAGCACAGCCTAGCTGGATCCTCTAGCTCTGGGTCTCTCCTAGTCATCTCAAGGTTCAGCTAGGAAGGATCCACCCCCTAGCTCACTCATGTGCTTGCTGGCAGGATTCAGTGCTTTGCAGGCCTCACTCAGTTCCTTATGAGCTGCTGGCTGGTGGTCTGTCTAAGTTCTTTCCAATGTGGGCCTCTCCGTAGAGCATCTCACCATGTGTCAGCTGCCTACATCAAAGTGAGCAGACAAGAAGGCAAGAGAGAGGGCCAGCAAGATGGAAGAGATAGTCTTTTATAACTTGATCACAGAAGTAACACCTGCCATTTGATAAAAGGACATCACTAGATCCACCACACACTCAAGGGGTCAAGATTACACAGGACTTGAATACCAAGAGTTAAAGATTATTGGGAGCCATTATCAGCTGGTCTCAGAGAGGTAGATTGTTGATTTCCTTGGTTGCAGAAGTACTGTGGAGAAAACACATCCTAAGTGCTCTTAGGAATATGATAAAATTCTCTGACGTCGATGTGCTAATAATTTGTCAGCTATTCAGTTGTGAGATCTTTCTATTAAATTGGTAGATCTTTTCTCCCCCCTGAGATGGCATGATGGCATTCAGTTTCATTTCCCTCGTTTTTTTAAATATATATATTTTTATTAACATATAGCTGACATATAGTCATTTCCTTCATTTTTGTCTTGCTACATTTTGATAAACTAACTCCTCTTTCTTTGTCTCTTCCATCCCCTACCCGCCATCTCCATGTCCACCCTTGGTCTCTGAATACTTGCTGACAGTGCTTTATTTTTCTCCTTTTGTTCTCTGGTTGTTTTCATGGAACCCTGCTATGCCTATTTAGTTCTTTAGGTATTACTTTTAAAAATTGTCCCCTTTAAGATTCTTGCATCATTGTGACTCCTCTACTTCCTGGATTTTTTTTTTTTAGGTACCGAAGTAGTTTGAGCAGAATCTGGTGTTCTAGTACAGAGAACTACAGGCTGATAAGGTGAAATTGTGTTCTTTTCTACTGACAGAATCTTAAAGAAAAAGCTCATAAAATATTTCAGACATGCAAAAAATACAGTGAATTATAGAACGAAAGACTTGTACCCTTCACTCAGAATTATGAAGTATTAACATTTCATTTGTTATTTTTGCCTTAGATTTTTAAATAACTTATTTATTAATGTCATTTATCTATTTGAAATGTTGTATTGATGGATATGTTGATTATTTGCATATTTTCTCTATTATGAACACTGCTATAATAATGTATTTTGTGCTCATGGTCAAGAGTTTTTCTAGCCATAGATATTTTGAAAACAAACTTCTGGGTGATTGATGAGCCAAAATAATAAGCAATAAACATTTCTGTAATATGTTGATAGAGAAATACTACAGCCATTAAAAAAATATTTTTATGTTTCAGGTACAGTCATTTTAAATAACATACATGAAATAAGGAGAAATGCTTTTTTGGCAGTTTTTATATGTAAAAATGTTAACTTGTGCTGAATTCTATTTTTGGATTAATACTAATGTGGCATTTTTTTTCTCAAAACAAATATTTGTATGACCATAAGGAAATCTAATGGAATATTGAGATTAGTAGCAAAAACTGCTTTAAGGTGGTAATGTAAGAAAATATCCATTACATTCTTCTTTCCTTTTTTTTTGCGATATTATTTATTCCTGTATAGGAGTAATCTGCCAAACCCATATTTATTGTTCTTTGTGTCATATTAATCTCTAAGAATATTTTTTAAGCTTTTATTATGGAAAATTTTAAACAGACACAAAAGTAGAGATAATGGTACTGTGAACCCTCCTATGTGCATCACCCAGCTTCAACACAATTGACTTTCTTTTGAGCAAACTTTTCAACTGTGAGGCTAACGTTAGTTTTAGATTTAGAACATATCATATTTGGGGTAACACAAAGTATTAACAACATTGATCTGGAGAATTATTTCAGTATTCCTATGAAGTAGGTGGCAATTGTTTACAGGACTTGTTATTATTAGATTTAAAAGTTATCCTTTTAATACAGTTTTACTAATTTATGTGTGGGTTGTGAGTTTCTTCTCTCCATTAGTTGCTCAGGCTCATGGTCTGTCTGGCCAGTCTTCTCTTTCACAAGGAGATTATCCATAAACATTGTGAAAGTGTGACAGAAGCCCTTCAGAATGTTTTGATACAAGAAGTTAAACTATTTCAAACGTTTAGAGGCCTGCATTTTTTAAATGAAGTACAGGGACTAGCTAATAATATCTCCTGGTACTGCAATGTTTATGGCACTGTAGATCCAGAGACTGTATATTTCACAGTGTGAGCTGTACCTCATGGGTTTCTTGTATGCTTGGATTACAGATAGCAGTAATCATGGGCACCTGTACGGCAGGAGGTGCTTACATCCCTGCATTGGCTGATGAAAACATCATTGTACGCAAGCAGGGTACCATTTTCTTGGCAGGACCCCCCTTGGTAAGAACATAATCTCGATAGATTGAAGAAAAATATACACAATAAGAAATTTACCATTCTAACCATTTTTAATTATACAGAAGCAGCAGCAGCCTCATCTGCTTAAAAATTCTAAATTTCGACACTTGTTTTGCTGAAAATTGAGAAAAGGCTTTGTAGGTTTTACACATAATCTGGGATTGAATTGCCATAGTTTTCAGTAGCTTAAAATGGTTGAAAAAATGCATAATGATAAGACAAGGTTTGAAGGAACTTTTTGTTCTTCTATCTTTTGTTTATCTTCTGAACTTGTTATTTAGTAGGATGAGCTATTTTAATTTTCTCTTTGACTTTTATCATCTTTGCACCTGTCACAGTATCAAACATGTTGTGGGTGTTCAATAAATATTAACCTATGACAAATCCTTAGTTTTTTAGTCAGATCCCTGAAAATAAATACAGTATATTAGTTGTTTATTCCTCTTTACAACTTTAAATATCCATACACCTGTTGTAATTAGTTATTGTCTGGATCGCTATTTTACACTGAACTTTTTTGGGAAGAAGAGACCCAAAAATTTAGTTCCAGATGTGGAACAATTGGAGATGAAAATTTTAATTACTTCTCCCCGTGGAATAATTTTTTATTTACGACAGAGCTTTCTATCTAGTGAATAATAAGTCATTTCTATGCTGTATTTTAGGTTAATGTTCATTATTCTAATTAAAGCTTTTCCTGTTTGAAGAAAAAGAAACAAATCAATCAACTCAAAGAAATAGGAATCAGTAAGCAATTCCTAAGGGATCTTGTTAGCATTTAGCACTAAATGATTTCTCTTTCTTTTTCCTGTTAGAATTTCTCAGGCTGTAATTAAGTCATTCTTAATTTATTTCTTGAGGTTTTTTTCTTTTTGGTCCTATTCTGCTGAATCTTAGATGTGAGTAATCCTAGATATTTTTTCCTATCTTAAAGGTACACCTTTAACAGTTCGTAATAATTGCTGGCGTTTTTCAGCATAGGTGAAAAAAGTCATTACTTCAGTACATTTATTGAGTGTTCAAAGATGAATAAATTACAGTTCCTGCCATCAAGGAACTCACAGAGTAGAGGAGACGACAGAGACACATGCAAATTACTGAAATGTAGTCTGGCAAGTGCCATATTAGAAGTGTAAGTGGAATACTCTTGGACTATGGATAAACAAGCATTGCTCTGTTAATACTATGCAATGCCATTAATGATGAAAAGGCCTGAGTGGGTCAGGGAAAACCACATAGGGCAGGTGGGGCTTGAAGGATAAGCAGGGATTCACCAGGTGGGTGAGAGGGAGAAGGGAGCCTAGGCAGTGGGAACAGCATGTGCACAGACACAAAGGCTTTAACGAGCATGCAGAGGTAGCCTAACATCTGGAAGAGAGCAGGCTTTCAGGCCAGAAATGCCTGGGTTCAAATCAAGTTCCATCACTTGCTCAAGGGCTGTGGGCAAGTTCCTTAGTGATACTGGGTTCAGATTTTTCATCTGTAGACTAGAGACAATATTATCTAGGTTTGCTAGGTGGGTGGAATTAGAAAACAAAATGTTCTTTAGCTGTATGGTAGAAAGAGTTGTAGGTATAGTCAGGTTGGGAGATGTGCATGTTAGGAAATAATTTATATATCTCAGATGGGCAAATCTCACCACTGACTTTTCTCCTTGCCTTAGGTTAAAGCAGCAACTGGAGAAGAGATATCAGCTGAGGAACTTGGAGGTGCTGATCTTCATTGCAGGTGAAACAGAAGCGATTGTTTCTTTCCAAGTGTTTAAGTTGCCAGGTCAAACCACAGTTTATTTGTTCTTGATCTGCTGTTTTAGGGTTCAATTCTTTGAACTGTAGAGTTGCATATCTAAGCTAGAACATCAGTTTTTTCATTACAGAAAGACTGGAGAGACAGGTTTCTCATTTAACAAACATCCATGAGCACCTGTTGTATAACAGGCACTGTTCTAGATATTTAGGATAAGACATTCCCTTTGACTTCATTTATACCCTAGGTCAGGATGACCAATAAACAAATAATACCCCCAAAATTATATAAATGTGTATATGTGGTAAGGCCAACAAAGGAGAAATATAGGGAGAGAATATAGGAGGTGGATTGGATCTACTGGTGTGTAACTATTATGACTTTGTTAAATTAATATTTGTTAAGTGGAGCACAGGATGCTGGATGGTGAGCCACGATTCAACAACAGCCAATAGAGAAATAGAAATAGAGAAGTTTAATACTCAAAGGTCCTGGAGGGAGTACATGGCATTGCTTCGAGGGACCACACAGAGAGGTCAGGGCAGAGTACAGAAAGACAGATAGACAGATAGAAAGAGACACACAGAGAGACAGGACTTGGGGCACATTTTTTTAATAGGGTCCTAGGTTAAAGTGCTTTGGGGTTTCTGGGCTAGGGCCAGATTGTTCAGTTCAAACGAAAAGAGTGGGATTTTGATAAGCCCCATGGGAGTCTTATCTAAGGGGTACATAAGGCATAAACATGCTGGGAGGCAGGGGAGACTGTTGAACACAAAGGCTGTTAGGAAAGTCATATCAGGATTTGCATTTGCTTGTGACTCTGCAGTTGCTCTTTTGGGCTTGCACCTGAATGGAGGGGCTAGTGTCAGTTTGAGGTCCCTGCGGGCCTCTTGGTCAAGCAAAATGGATGCTGAGGAGCAATTAGGAAACCATTGAAAAGCTTTAAAAAAATCCCTCTGGCTGCTACATGGAGAATGCTTGGAGTGTTGGAAAGTGTCTACAGGTGTCTACATGGGGGACCAGTTGGATGGTTGTATCAATAACATAGGTGAGAGATGCTGGTGGCTTAGATGGTTATGGTGGTAATGAAAGTTGGGGGAAGTGAACAGACTTGAGCTCTATTTTAGATGTGGAATTGAGAGACTTGTTGATGGATTTTATATAAAGAGTTCAGGAAAATGAGGTGACAAAGGTGATGACATGAAATCGTTTTATTTCTTGAGATTGGGAAGATAGAAAGAGGCGCAGATTTGGGGATGGCCAGGGAGATCAAGCATTCCTTTTGTACTTGATAAATTAGACATGCTTGAGACATCCAACTAGAGATGCTGAGAAGACAGTTAACTCTAAGGGTCTGAGGCCTAGGTCAGGGTGGAGATCTTTACTAGGGAGTCCTCAGCATAGAGGTAGACTTTAAACCATGGGATGAGGTGAGCTCACCTTGGGGTGAATGTAAATGAAAAAGAGGGCCCAGGACCATACTGTCAAGAACCCAGACATAAATGGCAAGTTAAGCATCGACCTCAGTGGCCTGGCAGGTGCAGTAAACCTTTCTTTGATCTACCAGACTGCAAAGCTAGGGAGGCAGATGGCTATGGGAGCAGCCTGGTAGGTGGGAGAAGAAAGATAGGTATATTTCTACTCTCCTATCAAAGAACACTGCCTATGTTTTGAAGAGTTGGTTAAGGGATCTACCTTTGCTTCAGTTTTTCATTTATTTCTTTTTCATCGAACACTTATTATGAATAGATTGATTATACTAAGTGTTATGAGTAATACAGAGGAATTTTAGGCCTAATCCCTACCCTCAGGATTTATAATTTAATTAGGCATATAAGAGAAATAAATAATTAAAAATAATTAGAAAATAAATATGCTAGCATGCTTTCAGTTTTACAACTAGAGACAAAAGGAGGAATGATTAAGGGAATGACTGGAGTGGATTTGAGGTAAGCATAGGAAAGCTTAGAGGGACAGCTTGAGTTTCTGCCTGAGTTTGAACAGAATGCTAGTTTATTTAGGTAAGCACACTGTGTGAGCAGAGATGGAGCATCACTCTGGTATCTGGACACTTACTAACCTTTACAGGGGTACATTGGAGTCAATGTTTCAACACAGAGAGAAAGAGGACACAGGTAGAAGTGGGTGAGTGGGGTGCAGGATAGAGTGTATTGCCATTGTTCATACGTGCTTAATCAGGGAAAATAGATGAAGGTAATATTTGAGGATCATTAAGTTTTTAAAATTTTGACTGTTTAAAAAAAAAAAATCTGGTGTCCATGAAAGCTGTAGGCAGTGTATCAGTTTAGGATGTAGGTCCTAGAATTCATCTCTCATTTGCTTCACTCATTTCTTTGTGACTAGATAAACTACTTAACCTCCTCTAGTTTTATTTTATCATGTGTAAAATAAAGATAAGAATAGTTCCTACTTTGCAGCACAGTGTCTGGTGGATACTAAGCATACTATCAATAAGCACCCTGCTTAAAATTATGGCAGTGATTAGGTGGTGATGGCTTTTTTTGGAACAGTGTCACAATTGTTTTGGGTTCTGTCTTTATCAATACATATTTATAACTGATGAGTCATCCTTAGGAGTTAATTTGACACAAAGACTTACATAATATAGTGCCTCATCAAAGATTTCTCTTTCCTGCTGTTATGGGTAAATACTAGGAAGTTTTTATTTGTTTATTTATTTTAAAAATTATTCTTTTTCTTATTAGTTTCAGGTATATAGTACATTGGTTAGACATTTAAATAGTTTATGAAATGATCCCTCTGATTACTCTATCACCCATCTGGTTCTGCACGTAGCCATTACAGTACTATTGACTAAGTTCCCTGTGCTGTTCTCTACAACCCCATGACTACTTTTTAACTACTAATTTGTACTTCATCAGCTTTTACCCTTTTCTTCCAGCCCCCAACCTCACTCCCCTCTGACAGTGACCAGATTGTCCTCTGTATCTATGAGTCTGTTTTTATTTAGTTTGTTCCTTAGGTTCCACATGTAAGTGAAATCATATGATATTTATCCCTCTTTGTTTGACTTATTTCACTTAGCACAATAAACTCTAGGTTCATCCATGTTGTTGCAAATGATAAGATTTCATTTTTAATGGCTGAGTAATATTCCATTATATATACAAACCATAACTTCTTTATCTAATTATCTGTTGGTGGGCATTTAGGTTGTTTTCATATCTTGGCTATTATAAATTGTACTGCTGCGAACAGAGGGGTGCATAGATCTTTACAAATTATTGTTTGGTTTTCTTTGGATAAATACCTAGAAGTACAATTGCGGGATCAAAAGCTAGTTCCATTTTTAATTTCTTGAGGAACCTTCAGACTGTTTTCCATAGTGGTGTACCAGTTCACATTCCTGCCAACAGTGTATGAGGGTTCTCTTTTCTCCACATCTTCGCCATCACTTGTTTTTTGATTTATTGGTGATAGCCATTCCTACAGGTGTGAGGTGATATCTAATAGTGGTTTTAATTGCATTTCTCTGATTTGTTATCTTGAGCATTTTTTCATATTTCTATTGGCTGTCTGTATTTCCTCTTTGGAGAATTATCTGTGCCGGTCTTCTGCTCATTTTTTAATTGGATTGTTTTGTTGTTGTTGTTGTTGTTGTTGAGTTGTATTACATCTTTATAAATTTTGGATATTAACCCCTTATCAGATGTATCATAGGCAAATATCTTTATCCATTCTGTAGGTTGTCTTTTCACTTCGTTGATGGTTTCCTTTGCTATGTAGTCCCTTTAGTTTGATGTAGTCCCATTTGTTTATTATTATTTTTTTGTTCCCCTTGCCCGTGGACATAGAAAAGAAATTATTAATAGCAACATCGGATAGTTTACTGCCTATGTTTTCTTCTAGAAGTTGTATGGTTTCCAGTCTTACATTTAAGTCTTTAATTCATTTTGAGTTTATTCTTGTATATGGTGTAAGAAGGTGGTCCAGTTTCATTTTTTTTGCATGTATCTGTCCAGTTTTCCTAATGCCATTTATTGAATAGACTGTCTTTACCCCATTGTATATTCTTGCCTCCTTTGTCATATATTAAATGAATGAATGTATAGATGTGGATTTATTTCTGGTCTCTCTATTCTGTTCCATTGATCTATGTATCTGTTTTTATGCCAGTACCATGCCGTTTTGATTACAATAGTCTTGTAGTATAGTTTGATACCAGGTAGGGTGATACCTCCAACTTTGTTCTTTCTCAAGATTGGTGTGGCTATTTGAGATCTTTTATGGTTCCATGTAAATTTGGATGATTTCATTTTTTTACAATTTATTTTTTAATTTAAGTATAGTTGGTACGCAGTCTTATATTAGTTATATTAGTTTCAGGTGTACGATACAGTGATTCGACATTTTTATACCTTACAATGTGATCACCCCACTAATTCTAGTAATTATCTGTCACCGTGCAAATTTATCAAAATATTACTGACTATATTCCCCTTTCCATTTTCACCTATCCCCTTACTCCTTTACTCTGGTAACCATCCCTTTGGTCTCTGTTTCGATGAGTTTGTTTTCATTTTATTTGTTTGTTTTATTTTGTTTTTAGATATCTTATATAAGTGAAACCATACAGTATTTGTCTTTCTCTGTCTAACTTATTTCACTTTGCATAATAACCTCTAGATCCATTTATCCATGCTCTCGCCAATGGCAAGATTTCATGCTTTTTTATTGCTGCATAAAATTCCACGGTATATATATATCACATCTTCTTTATTACTTTCATTTATTGATGGACAACTAGATTGCTTCTGTATCTTAGCTAATGTAAAAAATGCTGCAGTGAACATAGGGGTGCATATATCTTTTTGAATTAGTGTTCTCGTTTTCTTTGGATAAATACCCAGAAGTGGAATTGCTGGGTTGTATGATACATCTATTTTTAGTTTTTTGAGGAATTTCTATACTGCTTTTCAGGGCTACACCAGTTTGCAGTA